TATATATATAAAGAGATTTGAACAATAACAAAAAGTAAATGTGATTTTATCCTATAAAGACAATATGTTGCTTTTATTGATGAAATGTCATCAGTGAGCAGTATTACACCTTTTTCTGATGGAAAAAAATTGGGGGGGATTCTGAATTCTCACTTTACCGGTTGCTGTGGAGTTAGTAATTGCCTTTCTGTCATAGAGGCAGCAGTTAATGATTGAGTTTACCTTCTTGTCACCATGAGTGGCCCAGACATGCAGCCAAGACTTCCAGGAACCTAATCTTCTCACCAAGCAATTGTTCAAGCATGTAACTCTCTGCAGGCCTCAAACCTGGGCTCAGTTATTATCTAGCTATTGTAATACGGAACTTTGTGCCTTGGTAATTTTTTGTGGCTTGCATAGTTTCTAATATCTTTATTTATTTTTTGGATGTAATCACTCATTCTAATTAACTATTAATTTATGTGGTGAAGGATGGAAGAAAAACAGAAGGTTGTCAGGTTTTGGATGATTTTTAAGCTGGGTAAAATGCTTTAGAGTCCCTCCAAGAAGCGTTGGTAGTGGATACAAAGAGAGAAAAGTTAGTTAAAAGCATGCAATAAAATACACTTTTTAGAAAACAGCTATTTTGTATCTAAATCACTAAGGCATTTGTTATCTTTTTACATCACCATGTATAAATTGATTATATAAATGCAGGACTCATAAGTTAGATCTTTCTTTTTCCTAAATTTAACTCAAGCTTTAGATTGCTGAAGTTATGTAAATTTGTCCAGAGACATAAGGAAAAGGATTTTTTCCCCTTTGTTCCTCAGATTGTTGCACACATTGTGACTATTTGGTAGGTTTTTTTTTTAACCCAACACTAAGTTACTTTTCAACCTCCATAAAATATTTTTTATAACTTTTTTGATTATACGATATGTCGACATAAAACTGATTAAATGACACCTCTGTCATATCTGTATCGCTTTCTCCGGCACTAAGCAACTTTTGAGGATGGTGGCAGTAACCCTACCATGCAACCCTAAAACAAATGTGCAGACTGCTTTACGGCATACGTCACTTTCCCCATTCATCATTTAATAAGGATACATTTCCCTGAGAGACTGTATAATCATGCAAATTGTGAAGGGTTGATTTTCTGGCCATGTGACAGCTTCATGCTGGGATCTATATGTATGTTTGCTGTGAAGTTATCAAACGTAACATTATTTTTAAGATTTTTAAAGGTTTAAACTCAGCATATCAGTTGCTGATGAGTTGAGTGAGGTGGGGGAGATCAGGATTTTACCACGCTATGCGCTGGTCCTCGTGGGAAATGCTGTCTTCCTTCAGGCAAAAACAACACAGCTTATGTCTACTGTGTGGGGCAGTTCTTTAGAACTGCTTTAAATGTAATGACCTCGGTTAAATGTTTTGGATTTCCACCAAAACATTTCTGAGTAAATTTGCTAGAAGTTTGGCACATTATTTGACTTTGTGAGTAAAGTCTTATGTTGGTACCGAGCACTTTCATATGTAGATTTTCCTGCCAGGTTCAGCCAGTTTCTTCAGAACTTCATTTGTGTTGTTCTGAGCTCAATTTATACATTTAACACCAAAACATGAAGGTATTGGGGACACAGAATGTATTTCTTTCTAGAGAAGTATGATGGTTGGATATCACCAAATAAACTGTTCATATATAAAAAAAAAAAGGGGAAACAAAAAAGCCTGTATTTGTTGCGTTTTTTTTTTTTTTTTTTTTTTTTTTTTTTTTTACTGATCTTCATACAATCTTAACCCTCTTGTACTTTTTAGGTCACTGCAGAGTCTGACCAGAAGACCTTCATCTACCAGGGACATATTCACAGTAAAGATTTTGGCAAGTTCTCTCTGACGAGGCAAGGTGAGTGTGCTTTGTAGTACCGACACTCTCTATTTCAAATGCCATGGAATTAAGTAAAGAGTTAAAACAATATAATTAAAACTTCCTAGTTTGTAATAAATTGAGTGAAGAACTAATCATAAAACAATAAAAGGTTGATTGCAATGAAAACTAATGTAAAGCACTTGTTGTATCAAGCGTTTAGGTGTATGTTTATGTTGGTTTGTTTCTATGTGACTTTAGGTCCAGTTACAACAGCGATGAATCCATCAAACCATTACACAAACAGTAGTTCTGTGGCAGCAGCCATTTTAGTTCCCTTCTTTGCCCTCATCCTCTCTGGGTTTGCCTTCTACCTCTACAAGCACAGGTAAGCTATTCTCTCAATGTTAATCCTTCAGAGAAAAACACAAGTTAAAAAAAAACATAATAGCAGTCCAGCATCAGAGCAGAATACAAAGCAGCTGTTTGTCCTCTATTTCTGTAAACACCTAGCAAAAGGTGCCTGCTGGAATTCCTCTCTATGTTTCTGTTAAATCCTTCTAGTTTCCAATGGACTTATTTCTTTGGTTCAATCAGATTGATATTACAGCTAAACTTTGCTTTTTCTCTTTAGACCTTATTTTTGTTGCTCTTCTATCATTCTATAATTTATGACTATTTTTAAACATAGCTTTAAAGCTCAAAGCAGAAAACATTTAAACAAAGACTTAGACTGGGTTTAATTTTGGAATTTAGTAACAAATTGTTTTGGGGGTTTCTTCTAAAGTCCCTAGTATGGTTAAAAAGCAAGGTGCTTTTTTTATTGACATTTGTCTGATCTAAAATACATATAATTTTTTTTTAAACATTAAGTGAATGTATTAAAGAAGAGAATCTTTATTGGAGAAGCTGCACAGTTCAGGTGCACTCATGATTTGAGTGAAGCAGACTCTCGTCCCCTAAACATCAACAACATAAAGGTGCATATTCATATATCAGCATAGATTTTAACTTAATCAATTTACAAATTGAACATCAAAAATTGATTCATTACAGTTATTTTATTTCAGGCAGTTTTGATGTGTTTGGCCTCTAACTCTAAGATTTGAATTGTACATAAAACCACTTCAACAGGAATTTTGTTTTAAAAACCTCTGGCCTGCTGAAGTAAATACATAAAATCTGAATTGGACATATCCTAGTAATATCTTAGAAAAAGATGTAGCAATGAATGTAAAATCTATGTCTCACCTTCTTGCTTTGGTCATCTGAAATGATCTCCATCTCCTGTTTATGCCTTTAAATCTTTTAGCTGTGCAGTTGCACAAACCACATGACATTAATACATCGCTTCCACAGTCATCCAGGTCTGCTTTCAATCATATAATTTAGCTGATGGGGTAAGATGACATCTACCCCCATTTCCCTATTGGTTCTTCTACAAAACACATTGCTGTGTTTGATTTCGGCGGCTGCGTCTAAGAATGTAACCTACCTGAACTTGGTCCTTTAAAGCTACAGTGTGTAATAATTACAGGGATATACAGTCAGAAATGTAATATATTATACATAACTATGTTATTTATCATCATCTACGAGCTCAGCCTCTTAACCTTAATATTTGCGTTGCCTTAGAATTCGTTATTTATAATTACATAGGAGCGGGTCTCGCAGCCATGGAGGCAGACATCTTTGCGCTACGGCAGCGCAGAGCCAACAAACTAGTGATTGCGAGATCGCCCATTACGCTCATATATTTATTATCTTAAGTCTACATGAAATCTATACCCTACACAGACTAATGAAATACTATCTGTAAAATTATCTATGTAAACAAACCTCATCACTTGAGAAGGTAGGTGATGCGGACGTCATGGAAGACATTTTGTCCCGTAACGCTCGCCGTACTGTTGGGGGGGAGAAGCGGTGGGGGGGAGATGTTCATGTTGCTGCGGTCTGCAGGACGTTAGATGTCGCTGAAAATTACACACTTAAGCTTTAAAAGTTTTGAAAATAAGGAGGGAGAAGAGTCCAGCTATAGAATCGAACAGGTCGAGCCTTCCAAAACTGTCACTTTCCCTTACTCAGCGTAAGCTCTGACGCCTAGCAACCATGACAGACAGACTCACAAAGCAGGCACAGAATAGATGCCGAACTACTATTTTGTGTGCTACTTGCATTTTTAAGGAGTTTCAGCGGCAGTATTATTGTCACAGGTATCAGGTTTATGGTCCCCAAACTGCAGATATATTGAAATCTGTGCTTAAATGTCATTCAGACTCATTTGCTAAGGGACAGATAAAGCCTTTCAATAAACCAAAATTAAAAACATATCTGACTGACCAACCATTTAAATTAACTATTTTCATTAATGTATAACAGAATTATTCAAATACTTTTATTATATTAAGCTGCACTTGCAATATTCAACACTGTTTGGCGCCATTTCCCTTTTTCGTCTGAGCATGGAGCAGTCAGCTTACTTTGACTCCCATTGAATCACTAGATACCATGGGAATACCCTAAACATACACTGGACCTGTTATTCCAAAAGAAGGCTGCTTATGTCGGCAATATACGGCGTGCTAGCACCTAAGTTGATGACAAATCTGGCCTTCAGAGGGAGCAGCCACTGAATTCAAACACAGAAATATACGCCTCACTATTGCCTTACTCCCACCTTGATGTGTTTTGTGAAAATGGCTTTTGACTCCAGTTGATGGCGAGGCTTTTCCTCACTGTTCTCTGAATGGTGTGATTAAACTTCTTTATTTCCTACACCTTTTCATTCCACTCAACTATTTACTAAATGCAAGGATGCAGCACTCTGAGTCTACAGCATGTTTAGCAATGTACTTTTATTACACCCGTTTTTGTGGGTAGTGCCTATTTTCTGCTGGGCAAAACAGTCATAACACTTATGTTTTTAAGCATAAGTTTTATTTGTTTGAACTAATATCGTAATTATAAAGGTAGTTTTATTTAAAAAGATTACAAATAATTCAATCTTTGAGGATATAATATGTTGAGATACACCAGTATTTTTAGTTGAAACTAGGAAGTCCTTGCTTTTTAAAGCCTTTGCAAGTTGCAGAATGTAGTTCAAATTGATGTATATTAAAGCTGATGGTTGTATGCAGGACATTGTCTGCTGACACAGATGACAATGAGAGACCAAAAAACACCTGGGGACCTGGCGGCAGGTAAGACTGGCACCTGTCATCCATCTGGTTTCTAACAGCAACCAGACCCCCGCCCGCCGCCACATCCTCTCAAATTTCCCATTTCTTCTTCTTAGTTTGCAAACTGTTTTACATGCTGTTAAGTAGGGCTGCACAATTAAACCATAAGAAAAAAATATGCAAATATGAAAGTAAAAAAAAAAAAAAGTATATAAATGTATGTTAAAGCTAAGACAGAATGTTGGGACTCCATGCATCAGCAATTGGGGTAATGTTTTCACTAAGAAAGAAAAAATAAATTAAGAGCAAATAGTTTCCACTTTTTGAAGCTGTGCAGCCCCACTGTCTCCAAAAAGCAAAGCTTTATAATTTGCATTTTATTTTGTCTTTGGTCTCATTGTCATCTATGTCTCAGCATGATATCATCAAATTATATCCTCAAATTGTAAGTAAATTAAGTTACGCTAATGCTTTGATACGCACATGCTTGCCCATACAATATTTAGCCTTGCTTTTCATCATAGTTGAAACTTTTCTGGCATGCTTTTAGCATTTACCCTGCTACAATGGAAAGCAGAAAAAATGATGAATACTTCACATGTGGATCTAAAGTATTTGCTTAATGAGGAACCAGGGGGGTCTTTATGTGCGTTTGAGTGTGTACTGCAGTTTTTCCTGCTATGACCCATTTGTCTATATAGTATCTGTAATAATGTTACAGCAATTAAGTGCACCATTTTTCATTCTCCTGATGAAATAAAACTTTTGCACCTACAGCCATGACTGGTGCAGTGATTTAGGCTACTGCTATGCAGGGAGGTCCATGCTATGTGTTGATGTGTGCAGTTTTGTAAAATAATGGCTTGGACATGTAGGGTAGGCTTAGTGCCTCCCCAGGGTTGGATTTCCACACCCACACACACGCACACACATACACGCACTCTTAATGAGGTCAGAATCAAACAGCAGCAGCATTCCTTGCTGCAAACAGTTCCACAGGGTGTAGAAGTAAGTGATTAAATCTAACTGGATTATAGGAACTGATTATCTCAAAATGTAATCTGCAACAAACAGACAAATAAGGAATGTGTGCTTCTCTGTCTCATGTGTTCAATAAGACCTCTGTATAAAATCTGTTTAAAAAAAAAATCCTATTAAGGCTTACTGATCGTTAACGAAAACATGTACACTTTTTGAACTACAACCATGAGAAACGTCAAGATCACATGAAGTATTTAGATATGGTTTACAGTGTTGCTGCTTCAACAATATTGTACCTGTAACTTTCTCATAATAAAGTTTTACAGTTATTTAAAGTCAGGTAATTAAAAAAATGAATATGGAATAAATTCAGCACAGCATTTCTGATATTGCTAGATTTAGTTTCATGCGACAAAGCTAGAAGTTATACCTTTAAACCTTTGTCCTCATTTATGACTGGCTAAGGAGCTTTGCACTGCCTAGTTATACCTGAACTAATGAATCTTCCTGAAAATCCTGTGAAATTAAAGGATCTATAGAGAGCATGCTGTGCAAATCAAGGCAGTAGAGCATGAAACATTTAAGCATCCCTTGCTAATGTGATCAGATGACTTAAACGTGACCTGGTTTCTCATGTTACAGGTGATATATATGTTTTGCAATTCCATTGTTTACATTCTGACACTATAGATGGAAGTAAATATTGACATTATCATTACTACAATGCTGATTTTACTTCCCCAAATATAAAACATTGTCCTTTATTTTTTTTTTTATCTTTTCAAAAACATTTACTTTTGTGTATACAAAGTTTCTTAAGGGTGCACATGCAGTAGACATTATGTAGACATGATACATGTATGTTACATGAATGTATAGCCATTGTTAGACCAAGCAGATGTTTCTATTATAAAAGTGGCCTATGTTTAGACTTACAAAAAATATCTTTCAAAAAATTCCAGAAAAGTCAAAATTGTTTCATGTTTACAGCTATGATATAATAGGGTTAGGGAGTCATTATTTAGGTTGGTTTAATAACCAAGCATTGAGAGAAGAAGAGGTGGATATGACAGTATATATTATGTATTCGCAAATTTAAACTACTCACATTTTGATTTAAGTTGTTGTTGAAATAATTCTAAGTCAAAAAACATAAGAATGTTTGCTGAATGGCTTAGGTTCATTATCTCATATATGTTCACTTGGTAGCCACTAAGCTGCAAACCTAGATTATAAATATTACAGAAAGGGTTCAAATGAGTAAATTAAGTTCTTTTACTAAAGTTCTATACTATACAGTGATTGTTTTGTTTGGGATTTTATCTTTTATACCATGATCTGGGCAAACACTTAATTTGTCTAGCTGCCGGGTGTCTTTTCAGAAGTATTACAGGACACCTATAAAGCAGCATTTAGGAAGGAGTACTGTTTAGTTCTTATGTTCCACTAAAATGAGGTAAACTCCCAGAAAACTGTAAAAGTGCTAAAAAACCAAATTTTTGATTAAAAATGTATTTGTTTAGAGTGATCTTTGACTTGATCTTATTTTTATTACTATTTTTTTGTTCCCTAATTATTTGTGTTGCCTTTATAGCACTGTAATGTACCTTTCTTTTTTTTTTCCCCCATGTTCAACACTTTGAATTGTCTTGCCATTGAAATACGCTATATAAATAAACTTGCTTTGCCATTCAAATAGCTGGCAACAGCAGACAAAAGGCACTAACAGCTATGTCCGACCAAGCTGCATGCTTTGTGGCCAGAGCCGGTTACATTGGAGACATGTCAAAACAAAAATCATTACATCGTACTCTCAGCAGCTTCTTGTGAAAACTTACAATTTTAACAGTGGAATAAAACTTTAAGCTTTTATTAATTGATGTCTGATTTATTTATTTTTTTAGTGGCCATGGTATAAACGAGATAATGCCCTTTGACGTGTCGTTTTTTTAGAAATGAATAGACGTTGGACAGTTAACACCTTCGCATTGTCTATTAATTTCTGGACAATAATGGACAACCCTTACCTAAATGCTTGTCAACTTGTTATTTAACTTATGCTTTTACACTGCCTTTTTTTTCTCTAAATGTTTTTTATAATGTCTGCTGGCACATGAAGTACGGTTGGTAATACAATGTCATTACAAAAAAGTAAAAGAAAAACAATCCACTGGAAGTTTGAAACAAAGTCCCGTGGATTGTTTTTCTTTTTTACTTTTTTGGAATGACTATGACCTGGATGACTGAGAATCTTCACTTGCGTAATACAATGTAATTTCTCCTTTTTTTCTCAGGACCCGTCCAAAGGTCCAATTCAATGGCTACGTCGGCCATGAGAGCTCCAATGGTCAAGCTTCATTTGAAAATCCCATGTATGATACCAACATGAAGCCAACGGAGGCTAAGGCAGTTCGATTTGATACCACCCTGAACACAGTCTGCACTGTGGTGTAGTCCAACAAACCTGTCACCTCCTGTAAAGTGATCCATGGCACCACCATGTGGCAACCTGCTGAGTGGCATTACCCCCACCCAAAAAAAAGAACAAACCTAATATCTGGACTTGTCACCATGAGCAGCCTTTGTGTAATGTGCGGGTGCAGTGCCAGCATAATCTTTACAGTAATGCGGCTCTACTCCACTTCCCTACAGTATGAGGGCATTACTCAGCTCTGGTCTGAGGAAGAAAGAGAAAAGATTGCTGACACCAACAAAAAAGGCAGTTAAACATTACCTCATCAAATAATATAAAGGCTGATGTCAGTAGATTACCGCTTCAACTACAACTGTTTTAACACACTGTTGCATTTCAAGCATGTATAGAGGATATGATAGTTGAACAGCCACTCAGAGTATGTTTATTAACTTTCAACTTTTCTGAGGTTGAACTACCTTATGGAAAAGCCTCTGCAGTGAGGATCTTCTGGGTCTTTAATACTGACTCCACATGAGCAAAAGTTAATTCCAATAGAAGCCCAGTCTGCCATGCCAAATTTGCACAGTGGCAAATGCTTAAGTAGTCCCCTGCTGCAGGCCAGATATGGGTTTGACCAATGCATGGGTTTACCTCCAGGGGAAGCATATAGACAAAGTCCACCTCTCATACCCGTCCAGGCATTAGATGAATCCCATTTGTAACCTTAAATAACAACTGGTGCTGGACCAAATTCATCTGACACCATTCTGTATTTGAAAGAAGTGATTTACCAGACATAATGAAGCCTTTACAGCCTTTGTTGTGTTAGAACCTTGTGTGGGTTCCACAGATTTGCATAACTCTTTAAACCAAATGCAGTGATATGATCAACCAGACCACTTCATTTAAAGGAAATTTAATTTTAACCTGGTCGACATTTTGGGAATAAAGCAGGATAAGGTGGGAGTTTCACATACTTTTGAGAATGTTTTAGCCTATTTAGAAAGTGAACGACAAGCAGGACAATCACAGAGCTAGGTACATTTAGTCGACAGATATTAAAACGGTTTCTTTAGTTATTGCCATTGTCATTACTTTAACACTTTTATGCCTTTAATTAAAACACTGTAGTACACTGCATCTGAATAGGTTAAAACATAGCAAATCAGGCCTTTCTAAACAATGTTTTCCAAAGTTTTTAAACAAAAACGAAGAATTACGCCAAGTCATATCCTTTTTCTACAAATTCAAATGTCATAAGAAGGTGATAATTAAAAATATGAGCCCTACACAGAAGGTGTAACAATAGGCAGGCAGTATTAAATCATATAAACAGTAGATTGTGTTGCCCACTGTTTGCAGACAATGGACCGGTTTCCAGAAGCTTGTAAAACAACTATCAAGCATTTTTTTTTTGTCTTGGACTCACCACAGTTCTGTGTTTGGTGGTTTAACAAGTGGAAACCTGGAGGCAATAAGCTGTCAGGATTGTCAACTGCTGCAATCAACTGTGCCCAAATCCAGGAAATGATTTGTTCTCCTGTAACCTTGGTCCAGACCATCAGCCATGAGATGACTGATTCCTTTTCTTCACTACACTTTCCAGCCACAAAATACAAAATAAGATAAACCGATTTGCAGACAGACTGGCTGACTGACAGCAACAGGACAAATGGACACAGACAAAATCGTGCAGTTAGTCACTGCTGTCAGTCAAGCTTACTAAAGGAGACGTGGACGTGTTAGAGTGGAAATTGAGACATCAAGAATTTTCTAATTGTCTCTTCTGGCATTTTTCTTCAGTGAAGATACTGATGAACAAACTCATATGTTCAAAAAAACCAACGGCTCATTGGGACTTCCCAAATCACAGCTGCTGGAGACTCTTGAATATAAAGTTTATATGAATCGCACAAATTTTGCACTAGTGTTATTTTCTGTTGATTTTTTTTTTTTTTTCCTGTTTCTTTAATGTTTTTTTTTTTTCAAGTTAAGGGAATGAAAAGATTTTTTGGGACAAAACTAAGTTTGATAAAGGAGTCATTCAAAAGAGAATTTTAATTCAGAAGCGTCTAACTTTAAAATATACAATATGACTAAATACAGGGTTACAGTATTTTGTAAATACACATTTTAAATCTCTTGCTCCCTATTAGCAGTTGTTTTTTTTTGTTGCCCTACATGCTAGCCAACCAGAGTGGTGGGAACAATTTCTGATGCTAAAACATGAGAGGAAATGTCCATTTTTTGTTTTTTCTGAAAGCTTTTACTTGCTACTATGTAATTTGTCAAAGAAACAACCAGAGAACATCACTTTCATTAAAAGATAATTTTATTAACTTGCAGTTTCTATTCGGGAAAAAGTAATTTGCACAGAATAAATTAACATTTTTTTTAATTAGTGGTTGTGAGAATTAGCTTTCAGAAAGGACCCTTTCTCTAACCATCTTTAAAAGGCACCAGTCCCATTTCACCACTGTTGTTGCACATCCTTTCGACACATTACATGATGCACATTGTCTCTTTTCAGCAGCCTTTTTAAGAGCACAGAGTTTGTGATTAGTTTGTGAAAAGGTCTGCAATCTAATTAGTGCATAAGAAAGACAACATGCACATTTAGGGTTGTCAACAATTTCCCCATATTTTTTTAAAGAAATACCTCACAGACCACATGTCACATCTTTCTTTATAAATGCTGGATCATCACTGCAACAAATAAACAAGCTTAATAAGGGTAAATTTAACTATCACCACCCCTCAATTTCCTGGAATTTTAAGTCAAAATGTTGCTCTGACATCCCTGTTTTTAGGAACTAAGAAAATTCCGTTTCAGACAACAAGCTTGTTATTTCTCGCAGTGTTTACTTAAAATACTTTTATATTTTTCAAAGATGCTGCACTTGGTTAAGGAAGCATATTTAACTGCTTTCAATGTATATCATTTGTTGTTTCCAGGGTCTGCTTCATGCTTCACAAACAACATTCTGAGATGATTTTTACACATCTAGCATTTGGTTTAAGTCTCATGTTTTAGTATATTTTATGCTTTTTTATTTTAATATCCAAAGCACATTCACACAAAAAAACATAAGGTTTCATTCATGTGTATATAGAGTAGGGAGATACAAAGAGGAGAGCTTCCAATAGATAATATCCTCCTACTCACTTGTCCCCAAAGTGGTGGGGCCCGGTATAATTGCAAGGGGGACATGGTAGAAATAAAATGAGTAAAGGATCCATTTTAAGATGTCTTTAAATAAAATGAATATTAATAGTGATGTCAAATTCTGTTAAGCATTTCAACGGACAGTTTAATTTAAAATAATTACACTTTAAAAGTGGTAGTTTTATGATTTCCAGGAACTATTAGTATATTTTATTGCAATGTATAATTGCAATTTTAGATGCCCTTGGAAGATGCAAAGTGGGGGACCTATCAAGAAAAGTTTATGTAACCTCTGCTCTAATTGAACGTACATAACTTTTGTTTAGAGTTTTATTAATAGTAACTGATTTTTCTGAAGAACTCAATTACTCAAAACATCTGCATGAGAAAATTGTCAAAACTCTGTGGTTTTCAGGTTGTTAAGTAAAAAATGGCTCTGTTCCAGACCTGAGTGCTGCAAATGAGATTGTGATTTGGATGGAAAGATAGAAGTTATTGACGTATATAAAACAACCATTGTTATACAAGGAGAGGCAAAAAATAAGAACGGTACTTTTCTTTCTTTGGAAAGACGGATGACACATTCAGTATCTTCATGCAGGAATAAACACATCATCTTTAAACAGTGGAACGTCTGCTCACAGTCATAAGCCACATCTCCTTTTTATTTAATTGCAAAAGAGCTTTCTGTGCTTCTCGTTATAATTGATTTGATTAATTCAGCGCAGATTTCCTATGGAGTCAAGAGTGCATAATAGAGCCTGAAAATTAGAGGCTGGTTTCCAAAACCGTATTAAAAGGTCTAGTTTTATAATTATAGACAGAGATCCGATCTCCCAGTGTGCCTGAAAGTGAAAATTTAGGGTATTTTGTTTATTAAGGCATGTCACAATGTTACTGCACTGTAGAGGTTAGATCTGACATGCCACAAAAATACAGCATAATCCAAAATGTCATTTTAGCAGACACTGAACTTCCCGCAAAACTGTCAAGTCATTATAATATTTCTATAAGGGCACTTGAAAGCATGCTGAGCTCAGTGTTTTGAATGTCAGAATAAGATCTTTCATGCTATAACGCTCAAGTATTTTCCTTGATAACCAGGTCTGTAGTGACAGATGTTGTGTGCCATTTGACTTCATTTTTTCATCACAAAAGATTTTCCTCACAGTTCTGAAACATTCCTCTAAGGATTCTGAGCTCAGTTAATTTTAAAAGTAAGTAGACTATATGAGAAGATAAAAACCTCACTATTCACGTTATGGTCTATAATTACATTCATTTTCTCATAAACTGAAAGTTATCATTATAATAAAAAATATGTATTTTTCACTTCTTAGCCTAATCCAACAGATAGGGAAGTGGAAATGCAGGTCAGAAAAACAGGGACCCATATAGATATTTTAGAAATAATCTGTTTGAAGACATATAGGGCCTATTAACTTGGAGGAGGATTTCATCTTTACAAAATTCTGTTAACCATCCAAAATAAGTTACATTTTAAGTCATTATCAAGCCAACAAGTTTGCTTTTAAATGGAAGTAAGAGAAGACTCAGTACAATAACACCAACTACAGAGGTTATAATTTGTAGGAATTAATTATTTTTTAATTTAATTTTTTACAAAAATAGTGAAGGGATTATTGTACAATTTTTTATGACTCATGAAAAATGCTTTATTTTCGTTGTAGCCATTGAACACTTTGGATTTGTGCATGTTTTCACAGGAGAAAACATTGGCTTACATATTAAGCCGTTTAAACAGTTGTTAACTTGATTTTGATCATTTAGACTCAGAAAAGACTAGTTTGCACATTTAGATTTGATTTAGACTTTAGACAGTAACACAGTGAAGGATACGACACCGTTAATACTTCTATTGCCATATTAACAAAAATGTTAATGGATGCAGATATGGATTTTGTTATGTATTGGTTTTGTTCAGCTTCAGACCACAATTATTTCTTTAAATTTTGTTGCAATTGTTTTAAAACCAAAGCTCGTTTTATCTGCCTTGAAAAATATGCATTCATGTGAATCAGATATTTTGCTATGAATTTCATTATTTTTGTTTTCCTTTAGACATCATGTAGTGCCTTGCCAAAATATTTATATCTCTTAATATGTTTCACTCTTGTAAAGTTACAACCACCAACATCTTTTTTTTCCATTTGGTCTCTATGTTACAGGCTAAGAAGTAGCACATATTGTAAGCTTTGAAAAGAAGAATATCAATACATTGCATACACATTACAAAAAAAAAAAAGTCATATTCATATTTTGTTTCCCTTGGGTAAGGACTTTGCAATTTGCAGGACGATTGCACAAACTGCAATTAGTGCTGCAATTTTTTTATGGCATGCCTGTAACAGCTCCTGACATTCTCAGACTAATTTTGAAGTTCTTTTGGTTCAATGTCCATTAGAATGGATAAAAAAGTATCTTTGAAAAGCAATTTTTAACACTTTTGAAAAGCTATTTGTAAGTCCTGACGCACTTTCTCAGTGGAATTTAGGTCTACACAATGGCCATTCAAACACATGAATATGCTTTGATCAAACCATTACAGCTCTGACTGAATGTTCAGGAGCGCTGACTCTTCTGGACAATGAATCCCTCGGCTGTCCTGAAATCCTTTGCAGCATCTTAGCGTTGTCTTGCAGAATAGCCATGTACTTTTCCCCATCCAGCTTCCACCCCAAATGAACTCTGACCCTTTTCCAAGACCATTCTAAGGGTCATTTTCTTTTCAGCACATTAAGCTTTTTTACTCTTAGAAAAAATGTCCTCTTGCCAAAATAAAAATGTTTCCAAATTTTCTGCAATTCTTGCATTGACAGTGAAGAACGATTACCCAGGACCTTGAGGTATTGTTTTTTTTGTTTTGTTTTTTAAACATAACTCTGCTTCAAACTATTCTCACAACTTTACTCCTAATCTTTGTTTTTTTTCCCCTTTAATTCTGTTTATCTACTAATTTTCTCTAAAAATAATGTTTGGTAATCTTCAAAAGGTTGTTTCTAAACACCTTTCATCTTGTTTTGGACTGTTTTCATAGTAGGGATAGTTAACAGAATAATGAATAATGTCTGAAGGCAATTGCTTGCATAAAATTTTGTTTATAAT